ATTAGAAATCAGGTGGGGGGAGCCGTATAGTGAGTTTTGGTCATAATTTGAAATGTCCGTATTAGCGGAACGCCGTAAAGCGGAACGCTGTAAAGCGGGGCCCTCCTGTATATACACACACACACCCCTCTGGGTTTTCTTCTATTTTCTTTCTAGTTCTTGTTCTTGTTTATTTCCTCTTACCTCCATGGGGAAGTGGAACAGAATTCTTCCTCTGTAAGCCATGCGTGTTGTAAGAGGCGACTAAGATGCCGGGAGCAAGGGGCTAGTAACCCCTTCTCCTGTATATATTACTAAATTTAAAAAGAGAAACTTTAGTTTTTTCTTTTGGGCCACCCCGCCTCGGTGGGATGCGGCTGGTGTGTTGAAAGAAAGAAATATATATATATATATATATATAATATATATATATATATATATATATATATATATATATATATATATATATATATGTACACCTACCATCCGACTTACAACCACTCGACTTAGGACCGTGTTTTTTATGCCAAATTTCTGGGAAATAAAAAACTATTTGTGTTGTACACAGTGTTTATCCTAAACCTTACTGTATAAAATACAGTACTAACAGCATAAAAAGTAAAGTAAAACTTGAAATACCAAAATAAAACAATAAAATAAAGTCATTACAAAAATGTGATGTTGATATTCAGTAGTAAAGTTCGACTTATGTCCATTTCGACTTACGACCGGTTTCTCGGAACCGAACTTGGTTGTAAGTCGGATGGTAGGTGTATATACATGTATATATATATATACATGTATTTTTTTTTTTTTAACACACCGGCCGTATCCCACCGAGGCGAAGTGGCCCAAAAGGAAAAACGAAAGTTTCTCCTTTTACATTTAGTAATATATACAGGAGAAGGGGTTACTAGCCCCTTGCTCCTGGCATTTTAGTCGCCTCTTACAACACACATGGCTTACGGAAGAAGAATTCTGTTCCACTTCCCCATGTAGATAAGAGGAAATAAACAAGAACAAGAACTAGAAAGAAAATAGAAGAAAACCCAGAGGGGTATGTATATATATGCTTGTACATGTATGTGTAGTGTGACCAAAGTGTAAGTAGAAGTAGCAAGACGTACATGAAATCTTGCATGTTCATGAGACAGAAAAAGGGACACCAGCAATCCTATCATCATGTAAAACAATTACAGGCTTTCGTTTTACACTCCCTTGGCAGGACGGCCTTCTGGAATGGATTATGGCCGAAATCCGGGGTTCCACTGTACTGCTGTCTGTATGTTCAGTGTAAAACAGTCTGTATGTTCATTATGCCACAATCTGAATGTTCAAATAACTTAAGAATGAGAGGAGACAATAAATGGGAAAGTTTTGTATTTGTAATTGTCTACAGCTTAACACACCAAGTCTGTGGGAGCAGAATGCACCATTGAATGTGCTGATCTCACGACCTTTCTCTCAGCTTTGATAGGAAGGAGGGAAGGGTGCTAATAATATCTTTGTTTTTGTTGTTCCTTCAGAGGGCGGAATTCAGTCACAAGCCTGTACCAACAACAGCGAAATATTGGAAAATGATCCACATTGCATTTGTATTAAGGTTCAGAATGCTGACAGAAAAGGAGTAGTAAACATTAATATGAATCGCTACGACAAGATGATAGTTTTGATGCAGAAGTATGCTAATGAAAAATGTGTTAATATGGATAAACTCAAATTTTGTTTTGATGGAGAAATCTTGAATCCTAATGACACTCCAGACAGTTTAGATCTGGATGGTGGTGAATGTATTGATGTATTTGAAACCCAAAAGTAAATATGTATATAGTTTTGTATGGATTTTTTTTTTATTTGAGTTGCATTAACTCAATCTCTGTTCTTTAGGAAGTTAAGGTTAATGTGCAGGTGAAATTTACTAGGTATCTCTTGAGGAAATATTTTAAATATTAGTGATTTTGGCCTTCTTTGTGGAGATGATCTTTTTAAGTGTTCTTTATATAGTTTTGTTAATCATTAAATATCTTGTAACATTGATGCCTCTTGGTATAAACACATGGCTAAACATCACAGCCTTTATTTTTAGTCCTGTAAGTGTTTAAAGCAAAAGTGATATCTAGAACATAAATAAAGTATTCAGTGGTTTGGTTATCATGCCAGTGTTATAACTATTCATTTACTGAAACAAAACAGTGGAATAGATTAGCCTCCCCAGCAAACATAATGAAGCAGAAAAATAGGAATAGCAGAAAGAGCAATAAAAACATAGAAGAAATATGAAAAGTAACCAATAGCACTGTATACGGTAGAGAATGTACAGTATTTTAAAGTTTTGTTATATACACTTTCTTGGCCAGGACAACACCATCTTAAGTGTAAGTTTACAAGTTTTCTCAACTCAGTCAGGTGGTACAATTAGTTTTTTTTTTATGAACCTGTATCCTTAACCCTTAAACAGTCCAAACGTATATATATGTTCACCTGCACAGCACCCCGAATATTTTGAGAAAAAACAATCATT